AGACTGTGGAGGATAGCATGAAAGTTCCAAAAAACATAAGTAGAATTACTACATCATTCAGCCTACTACCTGTGAGTATATGTGCAAAAAATTCAGAAAAGAAATTGAAAAAATATAATAACTAAATCTTGGAAACAACCCAAATGCCCATCAACCAAGGAATGGATAAAAGTATGTGGTATTTTTATACAATGGAGTATTACTCAGCTTTGAAGAAGGATAAATTCAAGGCTTGTACAGGTAAATGGATGAAAATTGGGACCATATTTATAACTGAAGTAAATCAGACTCATATCTGTAAACATTGCTTTATTTCCCTTGTGTAAGGAACTGATAGAGTAAATAAGATTCAAAGTATGTAATAGATATTGTGAAGGGGAAGAAACTGCCCAAAAGGAAAGAACAACTGGGATGGGGTAAAGGAGAAAAGAAGGAAGGGGAAAAATATATACATACAGATATGTGCACACAAGATAGCTAAGATAATGATACTACTAATTTCTACAGTTCATTAAAAGTAACAGGTTGTGCTTAGATTGTTTGATTAATTTTTTCATCCCTATATCTTGTAATCTGAACAACTACTTTGAAGATAACAATATGCAATCTATTAACCATTGTTTATCTTCTGTTTGAAGTTCTGTATAATTATTTTTATGGTTTTTTATCTTTAAAATAAAATTTAAAAACAAAGCTCCATGTGTACACACGTGTTCAATTAGCGTTTCCCACAAAAGCTAAAATGGGAAGCAAACCAAGTGTCCTACAGCAAATGAATAGATAAGCAAAGTGTGGGGTATACACACAATGCATTAGTATGCAAGCTTAAAGGGAAGGAAATTTTGACATGACAACATGAAGGAACTTTGAAGATATTATGCTAAGTGTAAAATTCTAACCAAAGAAAGACACATACTGTGAATCCCCTTATCTGACACAATTATAATAGCCAAATATGGACAGAAAATAGAATAGTAGTTATGGGGACTTGGAGGGAGAGAGCAACAGGGGGTGACTGTTTAGTGTATAAGGAGCCTTAATTTCACACATTACAAAGAGTTGTAGACTTCACTAGTAGCGATGACTGTACAACATTCTGAAAATATTTGACATCAGCCGTGTGCATTTTAAAAAGTTAAAATGATACATTTTATGTCATATATTTTCCTACGGTTTTACAAAAGTCTGTAGGAAAAGTGAAGAAAGAGCAATTATACACTGTTTGAAGAAGTTACTTATGGAAAGATTTATCAAGAGTTTTTAAAGAGTGGAGAAAATAAAACTAGATAACATACTTTTTATGATCCCATTAACCTAAGAATAATGACAAACATAACACAAATCCACCATCTGGGTGATGTGTTGATTTTCATTCTCCCACAGAACGTGAGGAAATTCCATGGGGTGGGAACAGGCTTTTCTATGCCCTGACCCATTTGTATTACTCTGTATGTTTCATCGGCTGATCTTCTCCTAGGTGAGAGGGTTAACACTAGGGAATCATTCTAATATGCAGGGCTTTATTTTCAGTCTTTGTTTATGGGTTAGTGTATTCCTTACTTAATGTCAAGCTCTAATCAAAGTTTTCTAGCCTGATTATATTGAAAAATTGATGAGAAATACAGATGTAAAGATGAATAAATTACATAGACATCTATTTTTAAATGGACATATTAAAACCACCATGCAGATCTATAAAGAGAATATTGCCAGAGTCCTCTGTATGTCTCATCTTGTATGTGACTCCATCCATGCTTCCGTCTCCATCCTGATTCTGTTAAAATCAGTGTCTGATTTTTCTTTGCTTCATAGTTTGACCACAGAGTAAGACCTCATTGGAACATGCATCCAGCCTACAAAAAGACAAAGAAATTGTGCAAAGGGCACATGGCAGGACTCAAGTGGTATCCTTCATTTCTAGAACTGCCCCATGCCACATCACTGGGGAGTGTGTGTGTTCTGGAAAAGGAAATGTACAGCAACAATCTCTGCCTCAGTGGGCAACTCATATGGGTGCCTCCCAAACGTGGCTGACGTGAGATTAAATAAGATGTTGAATGTAAGAATTTACTGCTGATCATGAGACTGAAAATAAAGATGATGATATAGGCCACTCTTATCTGTTTCCACTTACTGTATAAGCCATTCAAATTATGACTGTATTCACACATTCTAAACTAGGCAATAGAGCTATGAAATGTGATCTCTGAAGGATGTTTTCTCGACATTTTTCTAATGTGAGGATTTTGCTCTTCTGTATGCTTTTAGGCACGGTTGCCTCACAATAACCATTGATCACAATGCACTAATTTTTAAAAATATGTAAAGTTTTTATAATTCAAAAAAGATAGACTTAGAATCAAAATGCCTAGTCACAGGGTCTGCTCAACCATTTCCAAATTGTGGACTAGAGTGGGCCATAAACATCTGTGAGCATCAGGCCCATCGTGTACTAGGTGAGATCTAAGATTCCCTCCACTACTGACCTTCTGGTTCTTGCCTGAGTAGCATGGAGACTGATGCGTGGGACTCTTCCTCCAAACAAGTGTGACACTCTGTGCAAATCTGTATCTTGATGTCCGAGGTAGATTTTCAGCTCATGCCTGAGGGATACCTTGAACAGACAGGTGATGCCACCAACCCACTCCCTAAGGAAGATAGAATTTTTGCCTCAGAGGTAAAATTTCCTAACATTGAGATTTAATGTGGAAAGATAACTATTTTGCACAACATGGTCCCCAAAATAAACCACTTCATCTGATGCTTGACTGAACTAACCTAGAAATGCACCAGCTGTGCTAGATTTATAGAGGGATTTTCTGTCAACTCTCACAATCAATTTTTAGCAGTAGTACTGGCTAGATAAGACAGTTTTAGAATTTTTTCACAGGTAGGATGCTATTCTATGGGGAGCAATGTGAAGGGAGGTGTAGAGTGAAGGCCAGTGAAAACTGGATGGTGAGAAGTGCAGGGACACAGAAATCAAGCCCTGTTACCGATGGCTTCCACCAGCCTCTAACTAGAGTGCACTCTGATTATGTTCATTCCAAACTAACCCGGACCAACAATCGTAGCTTGCTTAGAGAAAGCGTACATTAAGCTAATTCAAAATGCAGTAAGCAAATGTTCCTTCTGGAAAATTCATTTTCCACTATCGCTCAGAAAGTTCAAGTTTCCCCATTGATTTAGAAGTATTATTCCTTTTGAAGTATGCAGACTTAAGTGAATCCCATGGCTTGCTTTGCAAATCTCAGATAGGAAATTTTAATATCATTGTACTTTCTTTTATGTTTTTACTTCCTTTGAAATATAAACCTTTAAACATCATACATAAAGGTGCTGCCTTAGCTACTTTTCTCTTGTTGCTAAGACAATATACCTGACTCTCAAAATTAAAGAAGGAGAGGTTTACTTACCTTATTGTTTGTAGAAGTTTCATTCCATAATTGACTGACTCCAAGGCAGGGTGGCACATGGCAAATGGACAGCAGTTCATGGTGGAAGACAGCAAATACAACAAAAGCCAAAAGGGGAAAACAAGACTTTTTCCCTCCCTTATATTGTATGCAGGCTTCTTGCCCTAGGACAGGCGTAGCACTTACACAACCAATCCCCGAAATAGGCAATGAACCAATCACAAGCTCTAGATTCTGCTGTCCCTGAAAAGCCCACCCCCTTGATCACGTGAGACTTTGGGTGGCTACCCAGACACAAACCATAACAGCTGTTGCTAAGCAAAAGCTATCAATGAAATTGTCTCTTAATTTTGCCACCCTTAACTTATAATGCTTTTATGTCATTTTGGCCGTTATTTTTCTCCAGAAAACATCTCAAAGACTTTATCTTTTCTGAAAATGGAAACATTTTATTTGTATTTCAAAGTTTGTCAAATGTAAGTGATTGAATTTGGTCTATTCTTTGGGCTATTTCAATTAGTGATAAAATACATGACTGGGCGAATGAATCCCCCAAATGTCACAAAGCATGATAAACAACAATGAAATTATTTACTTATTTAGTAGGGTTTCTCATTCAATAACAGGACAGTTTTATCAAAAAGAAGCAGTAGGTTAAAAACGTCAAAAGCATAAAAAACATTATTCTAATATTTAATGAAATACAATTAATAAAAGGGGGAAAGAAAATCAGAAATAGCAGGAGACTTAAGTAGGCTACTTGCTTGCTCAATGCCTTTTCATTAAAGATCACTGAATCTTTCAGTAAATTGTTAAACCTACTGAACTTTAGTACACTATCAGTGCAATACATATATATATATGCTCTCTGCTACAAGGTAGTTTTTTGTACAAAGCATATATGAATATCATGACAAAAGAAGATGAATGCATAGCATTTGCAATTGCCAAATATGTTGTATTAGTCTTTGTGAACCTATATGTGTGAAACACTGGCATTGGAAAGAGACATTTCCTGCCCAGTGGAGGATGGAAAGACAAGAGTAGAGTCAACACATCTCATTTGTTGCCAGTAGAATAAAACGAGAGGAAGAAAAGGAACACATCCCTTGGAATGGTACAATACCATCCTAACATTTACTTGGTCATTTGCAAAAATTTTTAGTTTTACCAAAAAGTCCATAATGATGATAAGAAAAAACAAATGAAATCTTTCTTAATTTCATTATTAAATAGGAAAAATGATGATGAGATAAAATATGTACAGATTGGGAAAATCACTATTAATAAAAATTATGAAAAAAATGGAGAGAATGCTCAATTGTCACCAAGATAAGAAATAGTAAAAGAGATTTTCCTCCTGCTCTATTAAAATAGACTCCATTTTTCCTATTTCATAATATGTATTATACACTTCAGGCCTTATTTCCCCTTTTGGTTTGTAACACCAAAGAAACAGTGTGATATTTACATAAATGATGAAGGCGATCTTTATGCATATCTAAATTGTATGAACAAACAATACATTTTTAAAAAAAGACTCCATGTCTTATAATTAAACACATATAGGAATTAAATTCCTGATCAAAAGTTTCTCCTGTTCAAGGATTTTCTCAGTGCCAGTTTCACATCTTTGTTCCTCAAGCTATAGATTAAAGGATTCATCATGGGAACCACAATGGTGTAAAAGACAGAGGAGACTTTTTCCTCATCCATAGATCCAGCAGAGGATGGCTTAAGATACATGAATGCACCTGATCCAAAGAAGAGAGAAACAGCAACTATGTGAGAACTGCAGGTGCTGAAGGCTTTGAGCCTGCCCTCCGAGGAGCTGATGTGGAAGACAGTGAAGACAATGAAACCATATGACAGGAAGATGGTGACACTGGGCACAATGATGTTGATCCCCACCACAATGAAAACCTCCATTTCATTGACATAGGTGCTGGTGCAGGAGAGCTGCATCACAGGGAGAATGTCGCAGAAATAGTGGTTGATGGTGTTTGTGTCACAGAAGGTCAGTCTCAGCATGCATCCTGTGTGGGCCATGGCACCAGAAAATGCCATCAGGTATGAACCAAGCATTAGGCTGCAGCACACTTTAGTGGACATGGCAGCGTTATACAGAAGTGGCTTACAGATGGCCACATAGCGATCGTAGGCCATTACCATCAATACGTAGCACTCAGAAATAACAAAAAAGGAGTAAAAATAGAGCTGCGCCATGCACCCCATATAAGAGATAATATTCTTCTTTAATATGAAGTTCATGAGCATTTTGGGTGTAAACACAGAAGAATAACAGAGGTCAATGAAGGACAAGTTGAAGAGGAAAAAGTACATGGGAGTGTGAAGCTGTGAATTCAGCCTAATTAGAGTTACCAGTCCCAAATTTCCCAAAATTGTGATCATATAGATTAGGAAAAACAGGAAGAACAGAGGGAGTTGGAGGTCTGGCCGGTCTGTTAGCCCCACCAGGATGAATTCAGTCACAAAAGAGCCATTTTCAAGAGCCATTCTTTTCTATAGAATCTGTGGACACAGGAAAATGGGGTCACACTAAAGACAACTTTGTTTTCCCTGCATTATCTCTTCCCACTGGAATAGAGTATACACCAGCAAAGTGCAAGTCAATCTGAGCCAAGAACTGATCTTTTTCATGAGCTGATGCTCACAGGAACAACCATTTATTCGAGTCTGACTAAGCTAAAAAGATTGAACTGTGTCATTAACTGAGCTACAGGGTAAAGCCCAGTGCTGCCATATCCAAATGAGATTGCTTAAAAATCAAGGAAAAACAAGCAAAAGACTCCAGAATAGGAATATCTTTCTCTTCTTTACACATTCTTTTCCTTCAGCTGTCCCCCCTCTCACCCATAAAATCGGAAGCAGAAGCCTTAGCAGCTTGGTGCTGTTCTATAAAGCAGGTTAGACTCTGGTGGGTGTAAACCAAAGTGTTGGTTTTAATTCAGAAGTGAGCAGGCAGAGTTTAGGGGAGGTGAGTCACTAATCATGTCACAAAATTAAAGCCCTAAATCTCATAGAGCAAGGAGAGTCCTGTCCTTGCACAATGAACACATTGCCTAATGCCACGTGTGTACTGTGAGCTCCGTAATGTTTCTGAGCATTTTCTGCTCCCTCTCTGAACAAGTTCCTCTGCCAACTCTACTTGAATCTCAGGACTGCCCCAAATGGGCAGAAAACCAACCTAACTTGCATCCCTGAACTGCTATCTCAAGCAAAGGAGGACATTAATAGTCATAGAATTATAAACTTACCCTCCTTAGACCAGAAAAGTTTCTTGTTTTCTTATCCTTGTTACTTGCTCACCAAAGGACTGAAATGAGAATTTTGGACTTTTAGGGTTTGGTTCCTTGAATACTGAGAGGAGGCAGTGCAGACTGAATTTCCATCTTGGCCTGGAAATTTTTATTAACCTTAGATCAGGTTTTCTGATTGTGACTTTGAGTCCTTTCTCATAATAGAGAGAGGCGGTTTTCATTATTGTCTCATTTGCCACTTCAAATAATGCAAATGATTTAATGTGAAATCATTCTCATAATGTGCTTTGTAATAACAGGAAAATAGCTTGCTAGATCTCTTCCCCACAGAATAGAGTCAACCCTTAAGAAGGGACAGAAAGGCATTGTATTTACACCCTGTACTATGTTCTGCCTTCAGTTCCTGAGAGACCCACAAATGTATTCAAATTTTTCTTTACCCTTGGGCTTGTACAACCCCCACCACAGCCGCAAATTAGTTTCCTTCTCTCCATCTTCTTATATCCAGTGGGAAGCAGACTGCATTGTTTCTCTTTCCTCTCTCTTTCTAGATGAAAGTTTCCTACATGTTCTTTTTCCCTGGTTCTTATTTTCTTCAACTGAAAATTCACAAGAATTACAGTATCTCCATTTAGTTGGTTTTTATGAAATATTTTCTTTTAAAAAATACATTTCTCCCTTCTAATATTTTTGTTTGTTTTATGGTCCTGGAGATTGAACCTAGAACCTTTTCATTGAGCTACACACTCAGCCCTTTTTATTTAGTTTTTAAAATTTGAAACAGGAAATTTCTCAGTCACTGAGTTGCATAGGGTCAAACTTATCGTTCTTAGTCCTCAGCCTCTCAGAATGCTGAGATTAGGGCAAGTGCAACCATACCTAGCTCTCCCTTGTACAGTGTTTACTTCTGGTCAACTACTAGAAATGTGTGTATGAATTTTCTGCCTGAAATAAATCTATGTTAACCATTCTTATGAATGAAGACATATGGTTGTGTGGTCTAAGTAGATTCCTATGAAAAATGGAAATTTTACCATTTGGAAATTAATGTTTTAAATTTTAATCTAGATGAACCGTCTTCTGATGTGAAGTTTAACTTAGCCAACAATTGAATTAACTTTGAAAGTTCCTCCAAGAAATATACCAAGTGAAAGCCATAATCAAATATTTAAAATCAAATTAGGAACCTTGATATATCTTCACCTAATTCTTTAGCTTGCAGAAAGTAATACTGCAGAAAAATGTGGTACTTATTCTATAATCTCATGAACTGTGAGAGATATTCGCATTCTTTTTCTATTTTTTTCAATTTTTATTTTATTAGTATATTTGCAGCATAACGATCACATTCTTCTTGGAGTGTTGGTCCATGTATATAACCCAGTTTGTTCTTCTTCATCCCCTGCTCCTTTCCCCCACCTCACTTCATCTCTTGGTCACCTTCCCATTTGCAAAAGATCTGTGTCTCAACTTCCTATAGCTGTCTTTTATTTTACATTTTGCCAATGGAGGCAATTATTTCAAGCAGTGCTTCCATGACAAACGATGTTGAAAGACTCTGCCTCTTTCCCTTACGTTTTTACTCTTCCTGTGGTATCACAAATAATGCAATATTATCTTGAAAACATTAGCACACTATTCTCACTTTACTTTCATATCTTAAAACATGGAAATTTAAAGCTACAGAAACAGGACACAATGATATAAAGAACTCATAAAAATAATATGTCAAAGAAACAAAAGAAACAGTGCATAGAGACAAACAGTGCATTCAAACTCTGATAGACATTTTCGAATGGAATAAAATTGAGAGTCAAAAATAAACGCTCAAATCATGATTTCTTTTTTTTTTTGTCTTTTTAAGACAGGGTCTCCCTGTGCAGTTCAGGCTGGCCTTGAGCTCACTTTGTAGCCCAAGCTGGTCTCGAGCTCGTAACGATCCTCCTGCCTCAGCCTCTGGAGGGCTGGGATTACAGGTGTGCGCCACTATGCCTGGCCATGATCATTTATTTTAAACAAAGATGCTAGGATAATTTGCGGACAAAGAATTGTTTTGTCAACAACAACAAAAAAATGCTGTAATAACTGTGTATGCAGACGCAAAAACTGATTTGGGTACTTAATTTACAATACAAAATTAACTCAAAATAACTGTTAATGAAACGATGAATGTTCAGCATAGTGCCTGGCAAAGAGTAGGTACCTGATGGCTGGTGTTGTCTGGTTATATTGTTCCTGTTTTCTTATGCATTTTTACAGAATTTCATTCCAGGTTTGTCCTACCATGATATCTGAACTTCTTGACTTCAAAAAAATGTATTACCCGTTGTAATATCTTACATACTAGTCTGTATATCATACAGACAAGGGGAGTAAGACAAATTTGTAATTTAAAAAATAATTATAAGATGAATACCATGAAGCCACTATCTAGGTCAAGTAACAAAATATTTTCAATAGAACCTATTTCTGCCTTGTCTTCTATCATAACTCAAATTTCTTTCACCTCCACCAAACGGAACCTCCATGCTGACATTTGTGCTAATCAGTTTTGCCATCCATTTATGCATTCATAAGCAGCACAATATCATTCTCCTTGCTGAAGTTTTCGTAAGTAGAATCACATATGTTATTTTGGGATTGGTTATTTCACTTACCAGTATGCTTCTCTGATTCAGCCATAATGCTTTGTGCAGACTTATTTCATTCATTTTCTTTGTATGTGACATTCTCTTTGATGTCCATCTTTGTATTTTTTAAGTGTAAAAGAGAAGTAATGTCTAACACTAACACAAAAAATGTAGGTTTAAATGTAAGAAATAAGATAATAAAACTTCTAGAAGAAAAAGGTAAGAGTACACATTTTTGGTCTTGGGATAAACAGTGATTTCTTAGGTACTATATTTTAAGGACAAAAAAGAAAAATACAGATTGAATTTGATCAAAATTAAATTTTTGAGATTGAATCAACAACATTAAGAGAAGGAAAGAATGACCCACAGAATGAAACATTTCCAAATCATGCAGCATAAGCCTTAGTATCCCAAGTTGGTTAATAACTCCTTCCAATATAAATTTCAAAAAGACAAGTTATTTTAAAACAGGCAAAGTAGTGCCTGCCTGGCAAGTGCAAGGTCCTGAGTTGGATTCCCTGTACCAAAATGAATAAATAAATAAATAAATAAATAATAAAATAAAATAAGCAAAGTCTTGGAACACACACACACACACACTTCTCCCAAGAAGATGTACAAGACATTGAAATAGATGCTCAAAATCATTAATAATAAGGGACATATAAATAAATTATAAAAACCACCTCAGACTCATCAGAATGGTTTTAATAAACACAACTAATACCAGATGTTAGAGAAGGTGTGAAAACTTGGAATTCTCATACACTGTGGATGAGAGTGTTTAACGATTGCAGCCACTTATAAAAGAATATGCATTTTCTCAGAAGCTGAGGAACACAATTACCACAGGAACCAGTGCGTGACCGCCACGCTGATCTCTCCTGAGAAACAAAGCCCTTGCTGCAACCTGTCTCTGACCGCTCCTTCACCCCATTCACTGACATGTGCAGAGCTGGGTATATTGAAAGAAATGTTGTCTTAATTGTCTAGAGGAATGTTATCGAGTCTGGCCCAGGGAGCAGTCTCCTTAATAAGTAAGCAGCAACGCTGGGAGGCAGGGGGCGGGGGAGAACAGCCTCTGCATTGATAGCTGGGGTGGAGGCTCGAGCAGGAACCTCTGAGATTCCAGGGCTAAAACATGAAACAACATCTCAGCTGAGGCCCTGGGACTCGGAAAGAATTATACCTTCATGGTAGTAAAGACGCCAGCCTTGTAGACATCAGATTATCCTTATATTGCTAGTTGGAGGCATTTGTGACTGGTAAAATATTTTTTTGTTTCACATTACAGCCAATGCCTAAAAGTTTCTTTTCCCTACGTCCTCTGCCTCAACCCCCATCCACCTGCCTGATTGATATCAATAAAAGTAATGAGGTTTTGGAGATGAGGCCTTTTGTTCCGTAGAGAACACTGGGTCATCTCAGAGCCCCTCAGCTGCAGAACTTTTTCTCTTTTCTTTCTTGTGCATCTGTGTGCCATTTTGCAGGATGAATTGGACCGAGACCTTCCACAGGTGTTTCAGTAGGAACCATTAATTCCCCCCTAGCTATATGTTTAGGAAAAGTGAAAACATATATTTCCACAAATTGTATACATGTATGCTAAGAGTAACATTATTTATAATATCCAAGAATAGATAATTTCGAAATGTTCACCAATTGATTAACTGGTAAATAAAATGTTATATGTCCAAATAATTTACCATTATTCTACTAAAGAATTAGGAATGAGCCATATTTATAAGACAGATGAAACATCCAAAATAGATGAAAAATTCAGCCATGTGAAAAAAGCTAATTACAAAGAAAACATTCTGCCATGTGAAATGTAAACATTTGCCATGTGAAAAAAAGCCAGTTATAAAGGATGAGTACATTATTTCATTTCTATGAGCTTCCAAAAAGAGGAAAATCTACACAATAAAAAAATAAAATGGTAATTTTAGAGGGTTGGTAATGTGAAGAAATATATATTGTGCTAACACTAACCAAAGAAAACCAGGAAGGAATAGCTATCTTAATTGCAAACAGGGCTTAATTCAGAGCAAGTGAAGGTTATCAATGATGAAGAGAACTATGTAATAATAGGAGGGTCAATATTCCAAGAAGACATAAGGTGCTTAGTGTGATTTCTCCTAACAATGTATCATCAGACTATGTTAGGGATAAAAAGAAAAGAATATATATCAACTACTATAAATGGAGACCTGACCAACCTGTTTTTAGAAACAGGAAGCTCCCATGCTAAGCTCACAGTTGAACCAAAACATCACCAGTCACCTAGAGTATCTGTATTTATAGA